GGCACACTGATGTGGTTATAAGATTTTGGGAAAAAAACACTACGAACTTGAAGCAGCATTTCAAGGCTAACCACCTGGGAATGGAGCTAAGTTAATGTCGCCTTTGTAATAAAAATGAGAACAAAGCTAACATTCGAATCATATTTGGTTAGAGCAGATTGACCCAAGTCAAAATTTACTAATTAGAAAATACTAAAATGATGGTTAATGACAAAAAATAACAGAAAATCAAAAGTATTTTAGTCCGACTAAAATCAGAATAAAATACCCTAAATAACTAAAACCTGACTAAAAAGATAGTATACAGTGGACTAAATATGACAAAAACAAACAAGGACATAAAGACAAAGACTACATTTTAAAATGGCTGACAAAATTAACACTAGAACCAACGACCCCTCCTACTTTGCAACTGACAACATCCCACTGTGTGAAATGGAATTTAATTGTTGATAGTGCTGCAACTGACAATGGTTTTCATTACTGATTAATCTCTCCAAGACCCAAACATCTCAAATGAAGCGTATGTGGACTCACAGGAAGATATGACTCAAACTAAGCTCATTCGCTCAAAAATAAAACAGCTTAAAATAGTTAGATTCACAAACGTGTTACTTTGCCTCTCAGCCTGTTGGTATAAAGTATCCGGGCTGCACATTTAATATCAAAGATGCTTAAATGTGCAGACAAACTGTCAAGGTCTTGAAAGCAACAAAGGATGCACTGTTCTGCTGGTCCTCCTCTCCAGCCTGAGAACAAGCTGGCACTCGCAAAAACACACAACACTCCGTGGCTAAAGTTGGACTCCACTCGGCCAAATAAGTCCCTCTATTATGCCCACAACACAATGTGTCTTTGTCAGGGAAAGCCCTGGAGGGACAATGTAGCTGGATTTCCACCCCCCTCTGACTCTCAAGAAGAGTCTCGATCAACAACAGCACAGTTACTACAGAAGGGCATTAAGAAGATTATGAAATTTTATTCAAAAGCAAACTCCTGTGCCATTCAAGATTAATGGACCATTAGAGTGTGGTACATGTTGAAATTACAGTAAGTGTGAGAGTAAATATTTAACAAAAAGACAAATGAATGCTCATTGCCTGGGGCTGTATGTTCATCTAATAATGGATGACCTAGTAAGTGTGTAAGTAAGGTGGAGTCCGATGGAGGCATAGTTGAGATAGAAGAGTTCATGGTTCTAGTTTGAACTCTCACCCATAAGAGTGTAGAGTGAGAGTGTTTCCCTAAGGGTGCACTTCACAGTGACAAGTAGTAGACTCAGTCATTACTCTATGTTCTGTGAAAGACACAAGTCTGGTTTAGGACTCAGGTTAAGTGTGACTAAATAAATGTTTGGCATTCACACGTTAAACAAAATTTATTCATATAATTGCAATGGATTCTTGGGACAGTGCACAGGGACAGATGCTCAAACTTGGGTATTGTATTGTTGTCTTCTTTTTTCTACTGTAACTGAAGTAAAACTAGAGTTGATGTACAGGTCAGTTTTCTAAGATAAAACCACACCTGGATTTACTGAGCTTAACAAGACCAAATAGCCAAAATAAATGAACTTTCATCCTGTATGCTTTTTTTCAATGATGCTATCATAGTCCTTTTACCAATCTTCAACTTGTTAAACATTAACCAGTTATGACCAAGTAGAATATTCAACCAAGGTAGGGGGTTTGTATAAATCTGAACTGTTTGGGGTTTAATGGCGCAGTGTGGCAGCTCCAATGGGACATGAACTCTACAGAGATCTATTGTTCTGCTTGCGACCCCTCCCTCACATATCTGATGAATGACATCAGCCCCTTCCTGATTCTTCACCCTGTAGAGACCCTTAACCCCCCCCCCCCCCCCCACACTCACGCTATCACTGCGTACCTCTTGGAGTCAAGTGTGACCTGAGATTTTGTGCATGTTATGTCAGATTTCATGAACAAAAAATGCAAAACATACATGGTGAAGTTCATGTCTAGTAGAGCATGTAGATGAGGTCTGAAAAACAGAAGCAAGCCTGGCAGTGGGGGGGGACGTCGGCTCTCTGTAACTTTTAACAATCCAATCTATGGATCAGACTGACGGACGGGGGCGAAGCCAAAGAGTTCAAAGAACAATTTGGAGACTTCCTTTGGATTAGGAGTCACAGTTCAAGGGTTGTCAACTTGCCAGTGGCTTTGCGGGCCATGGTAGATCAAAGGCAAGGTTGGGAGACTGGAGAGACGCCACACCAAGACACTGCCATGCCTTCCAGCATGCCCGGTGTTTGACACCTCAGCCTCTGCCTATCAAAACCCGACCCTCAGGGCACACTGGTGAACAGCAGGAGGCAAAACGCTCAGGAAGCCGCTTCCTTCCTGCCCGGCCATCATCAAGTAAGAGGCTCCAGCAGCCCCACTCAGCTCTAACCAGCTCGGTAATATGGTTGTCAGGAAAAGCAAGGGACAGGACCCAAATAAACCTCTTTCAGAGATAAACTCAGGGGAAGGAAGGAGGATGAGAAGAAATGGATACAGCACACGCAAGAACCAATAATTTTGCATCATGAACATAAAGTTTCTACTATGTCATAGCTCTCTAAAGATGCTGTAATTAAGAAGTAAGCCAGACAAAAAAATAAAAAATTGGTGACCCTGTAAATCCCACAGCAACAAACCACAACATAAAATATCACAGAGGTTGTGGTTCCCCAGAAGTACGGATTGGGCTTTTAATTAACTTTTTTACCAAGTTTAGCTAAACATTTCTGTCCACGACCCTGAAAGATCTGACAGAGCAGCTGGAGACATCAGTGTTTGAGCTGGAGCTTACAGTAATGAGGTAAAGGAAGGCTATAAAATTAGATTCAGTGTATTGTGCAGTAAATAGCCATTCACTTCTATAACACTTCTACAGCACTTCTATAACAGGCTACAGAGACAAAACATTTGAAAGCATAACCACTGAAACACCGAAATACACATGTACAGACAAACACACATAAGACAAAACATACATAAGGCTCAAAATGTAAGTTCATCATAAACACTTTGATATGATTCACTGAGGCGTTTAAAATGTAACAATCTTTGGGTCCAAGCCAAAACACTTGGCGATCAACCCCTCAGGGTGAAGCCTAACACGTTCCAGATTTTACTAGCAATACTAACTAAAAAAGTAGTGAACACAACACTGACATATCATCACCTGTTAAGTTAAAATGGTGAACCTGTTAGCAACAGTTGCTTCAAGCAGTTACGGAGCAACATTATCATTCATTTGGAGTCGTGTTTGTCCATCTGTAGTGACGACAACGGGTAGACGCTCAGTCTATGTACTACTTCTGGGTTTTCACCAAGTTTACTCAGGTGTGTCGGCCAGAACACCACTTAGGCCAAATGTTCCAGAGTATAAAATGATGAACAAAGAGATAGTTCTTATTCTGTTTCTTTATTCCTCTTTCTTGTGTGAGTGAGTTTGAGGAAACAAATTGATTGAACAAATACAAATGAATAAAGGTAACATATGCATACACTCATTTCTCCCTAAGCACTAATATACATTACCAAACATAACAAAAACAATAGTCAGAACATGACGTATATACACACATAATATATATATATATATATATATATATATATATATATATATATATATATATATATATATATTATATATATATATATATATCTATATATATATATATATATATATATATCTATATATATATATATATATATATATTATACATACATACATACATATACACACACACACACACACACATTATATACACACCACATTATATATATGTAAATGCTCCGTACTTGTATAGCGCCTTTCTAGTCTTTTCGACCACTCAAAGCGCTTTTACACTACATCTGCATTCACCAGTCACACACATTCATACATTGAGTGTAAGTGCTCAAACGGAAACTAACATTCACACTCACTCATACACTGGCGGAACAGCCGCCAGGGGAAATCGGGGTTCAGTATCTTGCCCAAGGACACTTCGACACGCAACCAGGGGGAGCCAGGGATTGAACCGCCGACCATATATATATACACACACACATACACACACACACACACACACTATATCTATCTATCTATTTATCTATCTTAAACTCTAATATATAAGCATAAAGAAAGGATTCAAACACTTATATGGGATTCTCAGATTTTCTACTATGCATCAAGTTCCCGCTAACAGACAGCACTTCCTGACAATAAACGGAAACAAACATGAAACACAAAGCCCAATATGGTCAACTGTACTAAATAATAGCAACACTAACCTAACTTTGGAGCCTTTTCTACACCATCTGATTAATGTAAGTCCAATATTCACTCTCTTTTAGCTCTGTTTTTGGTGTCAACCAACTCCCAAGAGAAATATTTGGCTCTTAAGCAGCTAAATGCTATTCTATGCTCACCAGCTAGTTACTAAATTTGTCTGTCTGATGTTTGGTGCTGAGCAGGGAGTGTATAGCAGATTTTTAGAGCTTTTTCGCGGAAAACAGCTACTGTAGTAGAGAGTACAACAGTAAAGTTGTAGGTCGAACAGCTACACAATGACCTGAAACTCACTACAAAGCTCCATAAGGCCAAGTCGCACATTGTTGTATTGTTTTCACATTGTCATTTGACATAAATATTGATGATAGTTGCTTAGGTTAAGCTAAAATACATGGTGCAAAATAAAACTAGAAAATAAACTTAGAATATTAAAAGGCAAAGCAAGAAAGGATTAAGAGTCAAGGAGATAATTAGGAATATTTGGCATTACTGGAAACTGGCAGACCAAGATTAGATTTGCAGAAATGTGCTATATTGTAGGTTCTACAGGTTATTTATGCTCCATGAACTCCCGTGTTACTGCCAACATACATACGGACCTCTGCTCTATAACCCAATACGAAGGTGGTCCAGGTACAGCTATAAGGCACAGAGAATGAAGGTAGCACTAGCCTGCTACTTTGTACTGTTTCAGACAAAAAGGTACGTACCGTTCCAACAAGTGGAAAGATGAAGCCAGCCCCAATGCTAGCACGAACATCTCTGATTGGCAGAATGAATCCAGTGGGTGCACCCTTCTTGTCAGGCATGTGGGACAGGGACAGGTGAGTCTTGGCCATGCAGATGGGCAATGAACCATAGCCCTGGTTATGGGAAAAAGAAAACAAGTGGCTAATGGGTGCATGTACAAGAAAGAGAGAAAATGAGACACAAGAGAGACAGAGACAAGCAGATGAGTCGGTTGTTATTGCAGCAGCAGTGATCTCACCTGTTGATTATAGTAATCTATCTTGGACTTGGCCTCTGGAGACAGCTCGATGTCATCAGCTCCATACACTTTCTGTGCAACTGTTCTGATCTTCTCCACTATCGGCATCTATTGGAAAGACGGTGTATCAGAGACAGAAGGAAACACATGAGCACTCCGGTCAAAGGAAATTAGATTTAGTGAATACACATCAATATGACGTCAGGGTTACTAAGAGCTACACAGAGCAAATTACATCATTTAACATGTTTGACTTCTATTGTTTGACTCGTACTAGATCCTGTATACCTTTGTTTTCCTCTGCTTTCTCAGCAGTTAAATACATAACATTGCTATCCGATAACCCTCGCACCATGGTGTCAACAGGACTGCACAGCATATTAGACATTAACATACAGCATATAACCTGAATAAGTTAATTTGGAGATATGCCTGAGATTGACAAATCTTTTGCTTGTTCATCTTTTAAGCTGCCAGAACTGTTGATCAGTGTGACTTTAGATTTCCTCTGTGGCCTGACAGGTGTTTAAATCATGGTACAGTAGCTAGGACATGCAAAGTGAAGGAAAATTGCAAAAAAAATTAAATCTAAAGTTTATAGATTACTGGAATCAAAAACAACATGCTGGCTTGTAGAGAGTCTAATTTCATTATTTGGGCACATCATTAAGGCCTTCTTAGCATGACATGTTCTCTACTATGGCCAGTTTTCACATGGATGCTGCTAAAATTGTTTTCTCTTCCTCCTGAGACATACTGAACCAAACGCTCCCAGTAAAACGTCCCCCTTGTATCCTAAAGTCTGACCTGCAGGTCTGCTGCTGTCTGCCACATGTCCTGCTGGGTGCCCCTTTTCAGACACCTCTGCTCTGCTCTCTGGGGCTGTTTTGGGGCCTCTTCATCTTTTAAGTTAGGCCTGTGACCATGCACCACCAAGAGTCCTACCCTGAGGTTGTCTGTCACCCCAAACATTCCTCCAAGCTCCACTGTTCACTGACCTTCCTCCAAATACTACTCCACTTACCTGCCATTGTGAACTTGGAATACTGTGAAGATTGAATACTGGACTTATGAATTAATTATTGCCACATTTATTTGACTGTGCTTCAGCCTGGATTAATTAAATCAGTACTGGACTTATTGTACTCCTACTGTTGGACACTTGGTATGCAGGCACACATTCATACTGTAAAAAAGGGACACAAAGATGCATGGACTCATGGCAGCGTAACAGGAATAGTTAATGTAAGTCACAACTTCCCAAACTTACTAACTCAAACCAGCTGATGTTTTTTTACCTCTACATTCTTTGGCTGTGTGCCCAGAGCAAACATCATCATTCACTGCAAATGGAAAGTACCCAATAAAAAGTAGGATTGGGATAATGACAACTGCTTATTATAACGGAAATAAAACAAATGCATTGTGCTTCAGTACAAGGCTATATTTGTCAAGTCCCCCTCTTCTCAACGATGTGTTTTGCTTATTGTTACTTCCACTTAGATGTTTGAACTTCACTGTGCAGAATGATGTATGTGTGAGTTTGACACTAGATGGCTGTTTTCACATTTATCTGCCAAATTGGCAATTGTTTCTCTGTGTTCACCAAAGTTTCAACCATGGATGTATAAGCAAGATTTGTGACACTGTGTCTAGTTTGAAAGCCAAATATGTTCCATTATGCAACTTGCACAAGTGGAATGTGGAAAGCCTACATGGCACATACACTAATAACATACTTTTCAGTGCTGTAGGAGATGTCATGTAGGAAGGTAGATTTATGTCCAGTGTCCAGTAATTAAACTTTTGAAATAAAAAAATTCACATTTATTCATATATTCTGGATTTTTCTTTGGGGGAAAGGAGTAGATTTTAAGAATTAAAGAATCTTTATACGACACAAATTATAATTCCAAGCTGAATATTTTATATCTTAAAACAAGTCTGCAGCGGATCTTTATTTATGTTTTGTTGGTAAAATACACAAAATCCAGATATCTGCTCTCACCTCTATGTTGTACAGGAACTGGAAGTTGCTGGGTCTGCCGGCAGCCTCATTCACAGCTTGGGCCACCTCAAGAGAACCTCGCCCACCCTGCGACCAGTGGTGACATGGCACAGCGTCAGACGCTCCGCACTCTTTTGCTAGCTGACACACAAGGTCGATCTCTGCCTGGGTGTCAGTCCTAAAGGATCACCAAGGGAAGCGTTGTTAGCAGTGCTTGGTGGACATGACAACAAATTACATATTTAGAGACAAAATGGAGCTAATAGAAATGGTGCTTTTGTGGGCCTTCGTAATTTATGAATTATCCCATTACCAGTGGTGGAAAGCAACCAAGTACAAATACTTTGTTACTGTACTTACGCCTCTGATGCGTAACAGCGCAGAGCTGAACGGCCCTGCCTCACTTTCCTGTCAAAGGTGACCATGAATGTTTAAAACTTTGACGAGAGGATGAACTATCCTTCTAGGCACAAGAAGAGAAAAACGCAATGAGAGTGAAGTGCGGGAACAGCAGTCTGGTAACTTGTGTTCTCTCCTCTCAATGTCTGATGTCAACAGATCATACTTATGTCTAATGTGCAGCTGCAGTAAATCTCTCTGTCTGTCTGTCCTGCTAACCAGCTGAGCAGCACAGCTCTTGTGTGTCTGTGTCTTGGTTGCTTGTCAGACTGTGACAGAAAAATGTTGAGTGAAATGCTATTTAAACTATTTATTACGTTTGATAAACGCAGATGGGCCAGTTTATAAACAAACTTTAGCTCGGAAAGATGACCACGTTGCGTGTGGAAATGTGTTCATATGCACGTGCACGAAATTACAGTCATGCATTCGAGCAAGAAACATCTGTGGGACAAATGTATTTAAGGAAACCTGGTGGAGCCAGAATGGGCCTGATGCAGCTGATAACATTAATATATAGAAAATATCTATAATTTACAGGGGCTGAGCTAAAGTTTGTCAGAGTAGGTGCTGGATCATCAGCCAGTACAAGAAAAGACTCCAGCCAGTCAGCCAGTATAAGCACAGCTGATCCACATCCAGGCTCAGCCAGTACCAGCACAGACCCAGTCCAGAATTTTCTAGCAGGTCACACAGACCCAGGTGAAACACATCTAGCCTCAGCCCTTACGAGCACAGCCAGAGATGAGCATCAGATACAAGCAGCTCAGACTGTAATGGAACAGTTGCGGCTCTACCAAATGGCCCAGCAGATTGGCCCCCAGTCTTAACAGACTTCATGAGGTCTGAGTTAGTGCGCAGAGGTCCATTCAAACCAGCACTGGGTTTTTCTAGCAGCGGTTTCTATTCAGGCTTCTTACAGAGGGAGGATTGCAGTGAGAGCATTGTGCTGTCAGGTGTGACTGTGCAGCAGTCCCAGTTTGTGACCGAGTGGTAATGTAGCTGGTAGAGTTTTGTGATATAAACATCTGAAAAATGAAGCCAATCCTGCTCTGTTTGGGACTGTGAGCTGCACTTTATGAGAGCTTGCGACTCAGTTTTCCTTATTGTGATTCACTATAACTTATAGTGCTGTATTCAAATCTGTCTTGAGAGAATTTAAAAAGATAGATTGCGTTTTGTAAGATCAACAGATTTTGATGTGTAATACTTTTGATTACTTAAGTATGTTAAAAACCAGGTATTCTTTACTTTTACTTGAGTAGGTTTATACTGGATAACTTTTACTTGAGTAACATTTTTCATGTGGTATCTGTACTTTTACTTAAGTATGAAAATTGAGTACTTTTTCCACCACTGCCCATTACTACTGTTAAGTTTATTAATTTACTGTGACTTAAGTTAGGTTGCGTTTTTGTGGACGTATGTCTGCATGAATCTTACTTGAAGACATTGAGCGCCACCACGACTGGTACCCCAAACAGGTGCGCTATTTGGATCTGCTTCCTGAGATTGCTACGGCAACCGCCTGCAACTAGGGTCAGATTCTAGTGGAAATAGAGACGGAAGAAACAAAGCATAAGGTCAGAAATGTATTATTGTAATTCAGTTGATATTGCAAAACACACCGATAAAATGTACTACAGCGGTCTATCAAAGCATGTTAGCCATCATGACAAAACTTTGATAAGGATGTGTGGCTAGAGGATTTCTCCCACCTCATAACATAAGGCAACACTTACAGCAACGAGACTAGTTTTTTCATTAGACTACTTCAAAAACGTAAATACACTGTAAAAAAGGGAAAGAAATGATGTGCATGATTTACAACTATAAATGACACCGAAGCGGCTATAGAGTTTTAACACTAAATGTGTGCAAAAAAACAAAACAAAAAAAATTGTATGTGACTAAACACTGAGGATAGTTTTTAATTACATTATCAGCACATCAGGGGAAAATGCTGGAGATCTCCATTTGGCCTTCATTGCCAAATAGTTTTTAGAGACATAATTTGAACGGTATGACAGGAAGTCTAGTGAAAGTCTACTTTAAATGGTTTAATTTCCAATTTACTAATTTAGCTGGAGTTCTCCAAAATATCAGCAACTAAATCAGAATTTATGGCATTCACCTTGTGCCTTATTAGAATGTTTTTTTTACTCATGGTCCTCTTTAGCCACACAGTGCCAAGCCATGCGTTTTCACTACAGCCTTGCAACAGGGGGTTCCTGCTTGGTAGCAGGGCTGATAACATCCTCCCCTTAACTGTCTCCTCAGTGGCTAAACTCATGTGTCTCTGTGCTGGAAACTAGAGTGAAAGCTCTCTTTTTAAAAGTCTCTCCGTACTTTTCAAGCTTCAACGTGAATCTCTGTGATTTGGAGTTTAGTTTCACTCTTGTGCTTCTGTTTGTTCTCAGATATTAAGTTATATTTTACACTTTCAGCCGTATTGGAGCCGTTATAGCCACAGTGAGCTGAGAAGAGCTGCAGGAGACGGGCTCTTACTGTGGTTTGTGACTAGCATACCTTCAACATATCCTCAACAACTTTACCTTACTGGGCTGTGCAGTGGATAAAACACTCACCCCCTGCTCGCTGCCATTCACGGCCTGGCCGGCACAACTATGGGTGCGCAGAAGTCCAGCGACTCCTAAGCACATTAAAGCATATTGTGCAGCTAGTTTGACTGCAGTAATCCAATCTTGCACTAGGTGTGTGTAGGGGTGTGTGTGCGCGCGCAGCCCCAGGCTCAGAGCAGTAAGGCCATAAAGGTCCCATAAATTCATTTCCCTGGATCTGTTTTCCAAAGTACTTCTGGTTCTCATTATAGGCTTCACAATTAACTTATACTGCTTCATTATTTACTCAGCTGAGCCTGGCTGAAAGACCAGTGATTCTAGTCAGATATGAACGTGCACACACACAGACTGCTAACGCCCAAATACCCGGAAAACCACATGCAAAGGTTTATTTGCGCTGTTAATCAAATAAGTACTCTTAACCATGTTAGTGGGCGAAGTATTTATGCATATAGGCGGGGAATTAAATGTCTGCGAGAATACAGCTGGAGCCTGACGGGAATAAAAACCTCTATAAATGTCAAATGATGGCTCATATCCAAAACTGGACCAACCAGCAAAAACATTTGATAAGTGATCTGTGATATTGTGTGAACTGTGTTGCACCAATGTGTTAGTGTGCAAGTCATCTCCATGCAACTCAGCATTATCCTACTCTTTACACTTTACAGAAGGTCAGGGCTGTAAGAGGCCTGTGGGAATGTTGAAGGGCCACAAAGCTGCACTAACAGATTTGCATCGCCACCCATAGTTATGCATGGCAGTTCACTCAAAAACACAACACACATAACTAAATAGAGTTATAGTAATGAGCATGTGATTGTTTATAATTGGGGCCCTGCATTGGCCAATGAGTTTAATTAGCTTTAATCTTCCTTGAAACATCCTGTCCTTTATGACTAAATGTAGTAAAACAGGCTCAGACAATTCTTTTCACTTAATTGGAAGTGACATAACAACCCCCAAACTCCGCACCTCAAAAATGTTTACAGGTTTGTCTCGTCTCCCTTATGTTTCTCTTTTCATCACAGTGGCTAAGCTTGTTTATGTGTGCATTTATGCATATCAATATGGCTCATACCTCATCAATGTACTCTTTGGGAAGGTGTGCCTGCTGACACCTGAAACACACAGAGAAAACAAGTAATCACACACACCTCAGTCTTTTATCACATTCAACAATGTATTATTTCACTTTCCAGCTTGTAGCTTTTTTGGACACATTATTTCTAATGCAGAAT